TGATAATTACAGACACAACACATTCAGGACACATCAGAAACAGCAAGTTGTACACATTTATTAATTCTGATAATTAGACACAACACATTCAGGACACATCAGAAACAGCAAGTTGTACACATCTATTAATTCTGATAATTAAACACAACACATTCAGGACACATCAGAAACAGCAAGTTGTACACATCTATTAATTCTGATATTACAGACACAACACATTCAGGATATGTCAGAAACAGAAAGTTGTACACATCTATTATTTCTGATAATTACAGAAACAACACATTCAGGATATGTCAGAAACAGAAAGTTGTACACATCTATTAATTCTGATAATTATGGAAAACTGATATAATGTGGCTAAAAAATTTAACGAAAGAATTAAAGAAACATTATACTGTTCTTTTAAAACTTTATTTCAGTCTTTAACACATGATTTACAGCTACCTATCAAGGATTCAGATTCACATAAAATCAGTAATATTTCTTTCCTTACTAAAGTATTTAATTCAATCAATAAAAAATAGTGCAAGTTAACAAAATGCATGAAATATATATCTTTGTATCTTTGAGCAATTAATGGAAAAAAGTTTGATATCGATATGCAGCAGAAACATGCCAGTGCAAGTAACCATATTGAAAATTACTAACATGTTAGGTAATACAGCATCACACGCCAGTGTATATACGAATAGCTTTCCTATGTTTTAACCAAAATCATGAATAAACTTGGCGTATGATTCAATAACATCTGAATGTCTCAAAGATTAGAAGCTAACTCTAAGACATGATTCAATAAAACCATAACCAACACCTACACATAACTACCACCCAGCATCAAACTCCCACATGACCAAACTAAGCAACACACCCACTATCACCCACAAACTGCACTCTCTAAAAAGAGCCCAACACTTGCGTGTGACCAACCACAACCAGCAAGTAGCAAAATGCAAGAGAAACTTTGAATGGCATGCAAGAAAACCAGATGCTGAGAATAAAGTTGAGGAAAGTGAGCTTTGAAAGATTTGCAAGTAAAAGGAAATTAGTGGAGTTAAAAAGTGAAAAAATGATAGGAGCCAAGCATATATATTGCTATATACGTTAGACGAGATTTTTCGCTGGTCTGTCTGATGATGAAGAGAGACTGTCTTGGGTTGGTAACTCGGGTTAGTCTGCAGAAAATAATACCAATAGGGCTAGTTCAAAGATGAGGGAGACAACAGAAGTGAATTTCATTTGTAATTAAGTTTGTAAACACAGCTAAAGAGATAGTATTACAAGTCGGTTTAATTGAGGACATATTCCCAAGTTAAAACAGAATGACTTTTATACCATCTAAATATATTTACTTTTGTTGGTTAATTAACAAACTGAGATGTAGTCATAAATACTACCTTCAAGATGAAAATCTCAATTCCCACATTTTTAAAAACATACAATAAATGTAATACTCACAAAAACTCGATAATGTTCTAAATATAATATTCAATAAAACCTCAACAGAGTTATGACCACTAAAGTATACAGGCAACAGCAACGTACCAATAACACAGGCCTGCGATGGTTATATTGTCTTGAAATTTTTACATGTTCTACAATAATTCCTGTACGCTGAATGCAAAAATGATATCCATTTTTCTTCATCACTTAACAAAACATCATAAAGCAATACACAAAAGAAAGACCACAACACGTAGTTTCGAGACTAAAAGATGTAGATTTCACAAAAAAAAAATCAGGGTGAATGAGGATGCATATTCGTTTGACATCAATGTTTTTCCCCATTTCTTCAGTTTGTTTTTATTTTTGTTAACAAACATAATAAAAAAATGTTCATTGTGGAAAATGAAATAATGTGATCTAAGTAAGTTTTTTTTTCTTCCCGATTTGTAAAAAACCTTATGTGATAGAAAGAAATGAATGTTATTATCGAAATCTGAATAACTGAATTATGGAAAATCCATTATTAAAACCAAAACTTTTAAGAAGTTTAAATTCACAGGCCTGTGTTATTAATCTACATTTAAAGCCTTATTCTGTGAAACAATGCCCATAGGAATATCAAATAAACAGCTACATTAAACACAAAGAGAAGGTATCACACAGTAACCCTTTATTATGTGAACTATAATTCAAAAATATTCCGAGTCACTACTTAAATTACTTGCAGAACTGCATAAGGAAGAAGTATACATAGTGTCTCTTCAAAAATCCCATAAAATGACTAATTGGGTTTATACTCTTACATTCTACATCAGAGGCTTTTATACTGTTTATCACCTCAATCTTTTCTAATCAACAATGTGCAAGTATAAGGCTAAAAAATATATACAGACTAGTACACATCTATACACCTCGCCAACTTTAATGCTTTTATAAGTTTTATACAAGTATTTCAATTTACAGTTTTATTTGCTTATTTTTTCACTTTTGCAGCTGAACAACATTTTTTTTATTATTATTATTATTAAAATTTAGCCAAAAATAATTCAAAAAGTTTCATAGCTGCACATACAAATTGAAAAAAGATGTAACCTGTCTACTCAGAAAACCAGGGATATCAGAGGTTTATTTGAGCTGTAGCATATGATGGATTAAATAAAAGACATTTATTTTATTATTACTACAATTAATAATTTTAAGAATGTAACATCACCTATCTAAATTCCAAATTTCGTTATTAAAACTTCGTAACAAGCTTTTAGAGCTTTTAATTTACCTCAAAGTAAATTATCAACATTTTCAATTGGAGTAAAACACATTAGCCAAAGTTAATTAAAATGAACAGAAACAAAACTACAACTGGAAATCATGTGTTTTTAGTTTAAATCACATTTTCAAAGCTTTATGAAATTTTGACAACAATTTCAATATTTTTTTTAAATGTGGGAAAACACAAGGATAAAATGAGTGAGCTTAAAAATTAAGCTTTAAGATATAGTATCAGAATAATTCTTCTCGTACATGTTAATTCATGAAAAGAAAAACATAAGTTCTACCTTTATGTGCTGCTTATGCTCTTCCTCCAGCTGATCTCTTAATCTCTCAGCCAAAACTTCTGAGCATTCTTTTTCTACCTCTGTAACAAAGACAGCTTTCAGGTTAAGATCCCCAAAAAATCACAGTAAAAAATGAAGAAGTACAACTACATTCACAAATATTTTTAAGCATTACACTTCTTCCTTCTGATTACACAGATATGCTTAATATAATTAAATCATATTTAAAAAAATCCTCCATAATGAGTATTGTGCATAATTTTATAAACTAAGCTTGCCTGAAAGAAGAACTAAGCATGTTTAATGGAGCAGTGAGAAGAGTACAGGGTTTACACAAACTTTGTATACAGCGACTGCCAGCTCAAGAACTGATCTGTGTCGTGGTACTAGCGACTGCCAACTCAAGAACTGATCTGTGTCATGGTACTAGCGACTGCCAACTCAAGAACTGATCTGTGTCGTGGTACTAGCGACTGCCAACTCAAGAACTGATCTGTGTCGTGGTACTAGCGACTGCCAACTCAAAAACTGATCTGTGTCGTGGTACTAGCGACTGCCAACTCAAGAACTGATCTGTGTCATGGTACTAGCGACTGCCAACTCAAAAACTGATCTTTGTCGTGGTACTAGCGACTGCCAACTCAAAAACTGATCTGTGTCGTGGTACTAGCGACTGCCAACTCAAAAAGTGATCTGTGTCGTGGTACAAGCGACTGCCAACTCAAAAACTGATCTGTGTCCCGTTAAAGTTCCTGATGATAAATCTGTAGTACACGTCACCAAAACATGTTTGAAAGGGTTTGAAACCGTGCTAAAGATAACCCAGTAATTAGTGATAGACTGGTAATATAAAAAACTTAAAGCATGTTTACAGGAGTTTGAAACCGTGCTAAAGATAACCCAGTAATTAGTGATAGACTGGTAATATAAAAAACTTAAAGCATGCTTACAGGGGTTTGAAACCGTGCTAAAGATAACCCAGTAATTAGTGATAGACTGGTAATATAAAAAACTTAAAGCATGCTTACAGGGGTTTGAACCCTACTAAAGATAACCCAGTAATTAGTGATAGACTGGTAATATAAAAAACTTAAAGCAGGATTATAGGGGTTTGAACTCTACTAAAGATAACCCAGTAATAAGTGATAGTGTGTTTTCATTGCAAAGCCACTTCGGGCTATCTGCTGTGTCACCAAGGGGAATTGAAACCCTGATTGTTGTGTTGAAAACCCATAGACTTACAGCTGTCCCATTGGAGGACAAGTGATAGACTGGTAATACAGACACCATAATACCAGAAGCGAGCATCCACTACTGAAAATTAATTTGGTTGGACAGATTTTGTTTTTTATCCTAACATTTTCACAATCTTGTTCGATTGATCAAAATAGATAGCGCTAAGGATTATCAACAAAAATGTGTAAAACAGTTCTAACATCAACCAAAATGTTTTTATGGAAAAACTGTTGGAAATTGATGTTGCCACATACATCAAAAAACAAATAAAACCCATCATAACAGAAATGTACCTACAGATCTTAGAACAGGAGATATGAATCATTCTCATGTAGCTTTTACTTTCAGGTATACGATCTGAAGTAGCTAAAATATTTCATTCAATAACACCACACACAAACACATTACAACTGGCTATTTCAATCAATAACACCACACACAAACACATTACAACTGGCTATTTCATTCAATAATACCACACACAAACACATTACAACTGGCTATTTCATTCAATAATACCACACACAAACACATTACAACTGGCTATTTCAATCAATAACACCACACACAAACACATTACAACTGGCTATTTCAATCAATAACACCACACACAAACACATTACAACTGGCTATTTCAATCAATAACACCACACACAAACACATTACAACTGGCTATTTCAATCAATAACACCACACACAAACACATTACAACTGGCTATTTCAATCAATAACATCACACACAAACACATTACAACTGGCTATTTCAATCAATAACACTACACCAAACGTATTACAACTGGCTAATCAAACTCAACACCTGAAAGTTAAGGATTAATGAAGATCAGACATAAATGAAGTGACATACAAAAACAATTTTTCATCTCCAAACAGTTCTAGTAAAACAGGCTTCAAAAGGTTTGGTTTAATTAAGTTAAAAAGAACATCAATTTATAGAATAAATGTTGTTGTAAAACAAGACAAACAAAACTATCAAAATTTTGGATGACAAAAATTAAGCACATGTAGGTCTTCTTCATCTTTTATTTTGAGGTCATTTTGAATACTGACCCTAAAACAATGGTCAAGCTGATAAATGGAAAATGGTCAATCATACAACTACAGTACTGCCACAACCACGACACCCGTTTCCTAAATTCTAACACTTGCATTTTCAATATGGAAAATTCATGTTTTGGTTCTATAAGGTAACTACACTAAGCATTAGATATATGTAATGTTAAGTTCAAAATCTTTATAAAATATAGTAAGAACTATATTAGCATATTATACTTTATTTTGTAAAATCAGAATTTATGCTTAACACTATGTATCAACATTCCAAGGGTAATTCTTAACCAAACAAAACTTTTAACAAGTTTCAGGACAGTAAATATCATATCAAGCTATTACTGTAAGACTCGTAACTTACCTCTCTGCTGCTCCACATGCTTCAACTTCAAGTTGTTTATTTCTTTCTCAAGATGGTGTTTTAAATTATTGAGTTCTTCTTTGTGTTTCTTCTCTATCTTTTCTTGTTGATTCTTCAAAATTAAACTCTTCTCTTTCTCAAATTCCAGCCTCAAGGAGGCAACAAGTGCCTGAAGTTTTTTCTCATTACAGCTCTGTATTGACTCTGTCTCTTCTCTTAATTGATCCTGTAAGTCAGGTGTAGTTACTGATAATCAGTTTTAATTATTTACATATCAATTAGTATTAACTTCCAATCACAGTAAACTACATACTTAGAGAAGTACTTAAAATCACCTGGCTATCAGTATAACTAATTAAAAACACCCTTTTATGTTTCTATTATACGGATTAAAATGTATTGTTTCATCAGGTGGATACCCTTAATGTTAACAATACGCTTGGCCATAATTCCAATAATATCTCACAAGATTCTGTTACCTTAGAAGATTTAACTTAGTCGTAAAAACATAAACTAACAATACAAAACAATCTCTATAACAAAAGTATACTAATAAAAGATAAAAATAACAACATTTGATATACTAAATAGTTGGATCAAAAATATTAATTAAAGTAACAATAAAGAATATACTAAGGGAAAACAAACACTAGCTGTTGGCTTAACCCTTTCACTGCAGTTGGGTAAACACTATATGTTGGCTTAACCCTTTCACTGCAGTTGGGTAAACACTAGCTGTTGGCTTAACCCTTTCACTGCAGTTGGATAAACACTATATGTTGGCTTAACCCTTTCACTGCAGTTGGATAAACACTATATGTTGGCTTAACCCTTTCACTGCAGTTGGATAAACACTATATGTTGGCTTAACCCTTTCACTGCAGTTGGATAAACACTAGATGTTGGCTTAACTCTTTCACTGCAGTTGGGTAAACACTAGCTGTTGGCTTAACCCTTTTACTGCAGTAACAAACACACGGAGCTGGCTACAAGAAGTAATAAATAACAGTAAGTCTTCTGTAAAAGCTGAAAAAGAAACATGATAAGCCTCATGAAAGTAAAAAGTTAAAATAAAGACTTACAAAATTAAATTACACCACTCATTAATCATCAAAAAGAATTGTAACTAATAATTTAACATTGTACTGGATATAGAATTGTTATATAGTTAAATTAATTATATACAATAAGGACTTAAAACTAACAGTAGGTAAATCTAATAGTGCTCAACACGATGAAGCTGTTCACTATTACCTTAAACAATATTATCCAAGGTGTTAAAGTGTAGTCATGAAAGTTTTTAAAAGGTCATGATATTCTATAAAACATCTAAGCCCATAATTTGTAACAAAAATATTGTTGAATTTTCCACAGAAATGAATTAATTTTGTTTATAAAATGCACAATGAGAAACCTCAGTTACGAAAAATGAGTGAGTTTACGAGCTCTATCCAAAGCAATTTCAAAGAAATGTTACTAATAACTTATGTGATGGAATAAGAAAATCTAAAACTGTACATATTCTAATTAAGTAATTAATCAACCTTATTATCGCTAAGTAATGCAAGTAAACCATTTATTTATTAATAGATGTACTATTTTCATAAACAATTTTAAACTGGCTCGACCTTAATTTCTTTGGATTGTTACACCTGTTCTCAATTACATCATTGATACTCTAATATTTTATTTATTTACGTTTATAAAACTGTATCAAATAAGCAGAAATATTTTGAATTCCAACCTGCCTATAAAAATTACAAATCAGTTTTAACTTAAAATGACAATAGTATACTTTCTTCTCATTTCAAACACTTTACTTCAATATTGTTATTTTAAATGACTCATTGAGTGCATGCTTTATAGAAAGGAAAGAGAAGCACAATTTTAATCATACCTTATTCTTCATGTGTTCATATGAAAGTAATACATACATAAATGTACTTATGTTAACCAAAACAGTCATAAATAATAAATTACATTATAAAGTACCAAAAAATACATTCCTTGCAATGTCTTACTCATCCAATCAGAAATGTCACAATGTCTTACTCATCCAATCAGAAATGTCACAATGTTTTACTCATCCAATCAGAAACGTCACAATGTTTTACTCAACCAATCAGAAACGTCACAATGTCTTACTCATCCAATCAGAAACGTCACAATGTCTTACTCATCCAATCAGAAACATCACAATGTCTTACAAACCTGAAACTTTGTTTTGATAGCCTGAATTTGTTCTTTGTGATACTTTTCAGTCTCCAACACTACATTTTCCAGCAGCGCCTTCTGGTTGCAGGTCAATTCATCCATCAACCTCCTGACATGATTCTTAAGGCACTCTTCTGATACAATTTGTGTTTCCACTTCTGCAGTTGATAGGGTTAATCTCTCTTGTTCCCTTTTCAACCTTTCATTTTCTGCTTGCAGAGCTGCGACCTACCATAAAGTAAACAAACACTTATTCTTTTACTTAAGTAAAAATTCTTTAATAATAAGTAAATCTATATATAATCTTTCAACTGACAAACAAGGTTCTTGTGAATATTTAAACTGTTAACATACATACGTTATGTTTCTTGCACGATTCAGTCCAATATGCAATGTTTACACAACTTCAAAAATATATTTATATACATCCACATTAGACTTTATTTTACTAAATGACTGAGGTTTATTGCTGAGAAAGCTGTTTTAAGAAACGTTGAATACATGAATAAGGTAGAGCAGTATTTAAGCAAGACGAATGTTGTTAAGACTAAAAGTGTTTCCAACCATAACTTCAAATACACCTGTAGTCTTCACAAAAACTGTTACTGGAAAAAATTAACTAATACCTTACAATTTTTTTATTTTATTTACTGTTCATGTATGTTCTTAAACATGATTAGAACAGATAAATCTTATAAGTGCATGGATCAATATCATTACAGATATTTTCTAATAATGAGGAAGTGATCTTGTTTTTCCGTGATCTAAATTCAACATTTATTTCTTTAAATTATTAAAAACATAAGGACTTCAAGGGACTCGCTCCATCAACTGCCACTAGAGAGCAGCTCCTGACCTTTTGAGACTGTGTTAAGCAGTTTATAAACTTCATTAAGTTGAACTACCAATATCATAATTATTAGGTTGTTGTTGCTACTTATTTTTTTCTAAGTAACATAAATTATTAATTTATTTAATAAGGCATAATGTATACTCATGTTCAAGTATTTTAGACAATATTATGTTTTGTAAGCATATTAATCATTTTTGTAATATACACAATCATTTGTTAATTTATAAACTAAAAAGAAAAGTATTGTATCAAATACTTAACAAAAAAACTGTAGAAATAACAATTTATCAATCTTTTTTTTTCTTTTACATCTTTATACCATGCTATAAAATGAAAACTTCGCCTGTTATATTAAATCAGTGGTTCCCAAACTTTTAGTCTGAGGCTCCCTTGATGTGAATAAGAAAGTTTGATGCCCCCCCCCCACCCTATAACTTTAACATGGTGATTGAAAAACAGTGCCATAGTAAAAAACAATAACATCTATTTTCAATGTACTGTATCATTTAATTAATTCAATATAATTTTTATCAGCTTATT